TTTTAGCGTTGCAGATTTATATTCACTAATTGATTTTTGTTGGCAAGAAATATTTTTTTTATAGGCATTAAAATAACATTCATCGATGAGTTTCATTTTCAGAAAATGAGTGTCCCTATGGAATTAAGTTGATTTATATCTTTTTAATTGATTAAGTAGATAATAATCTCTAATTAAATTGTTGTGAGATGTTTTAATATACGTTAGATAGGATAGTTATTTGTAGTGATAAAGATTATTATTCACTATATGATTTTTTTTTAGTAAATTCCTTAAAAAAACTTAAGTTTTGTATTTTTCCAATAGAATGCCCTTTATTTTTCAAATGATAAGATTACCATTATCTTCACGTCTTTCTTTCATCGTCACCACCTTCACCCACTATATAGTCGATTATTACCTTTGTCTTGTTGTGGTTGCCTTCATCTCACTACCTTATTGTGTTACGTCGTAAGCCGCCTCCATTATTGTGAGACTTCCATCGTCATCTTCATTACCTTCGTCAAGTTGTCAATATCATGGACTTTGCTGGGATTGCGTAAGTTGTGAGGTTACCCTTGTATCATTCATCTGTAAAACGTTAGCTTAGTTACAATCTTGCTTAGGTGCCGAAGGATCCATAAAAAAAATTTGATTAATTCGAAAGCAAGCAACAAAAAAGTCCTAACATCTCACGAAGAGGATAATTTTACAAGCAATTGAGCAAAAACTTGGTTTATAAGAGAGAAAAGAGAGAAAGGAAAAAATAATAACTTTAGAAGGCAAACAAACAGTCATAAGTCCATAAACAATTACTCACCGGGTGTCGAGTATGTTGGTAAGTTCCTATAGGCTTAACGTGCAAACTTGTGAATCTAATCAACGACCAACACTATCCCAAACCCTCATCCCTCTAGGTGCCACTCTAGGGGTTTTGGGGTGCTGAAATGATTGACAGTTTTCTTTATATTACAACCGACAGAAAATAGGCCATGGCACGTGAAAACTAAGTCATTTTGGTGAGGGTTTACTCAACAACCTTGTAAACTTTTCCTACTTACAGTTTTCAAACAAAACATATAAAAACGAGGTAAAATATGTTGCTTAAAAATATATACAAGCAAATAAAAGTAACGAATGGTCCGTTGACAAAGGTGTTGTGGGTTTGCAATGACCGTCCATGACATTCTCCCTCAAACTATCGACGCCCTCATTGATGCTTGTTGGTAGGCTTTGATGACTGCTTCTTTGTATTATAAGGCATCTTTAGGCTCCCAACAGACTTCTATTCGAAGAAGCTTTCACCACTTCACTAAGTACTTGATCTGTTCTATTTTGTTGGGTAGCTGTGTTTTACGATCCGCTAAAATGGTTTCAACTCACTTTTTGTACGAGACTTTGGTGGGGGGTGGCTGAGTTGGAACATTTCGAGAAGTATCTTGCGGATCTGAATGGTAGCATTTCAAGTTACTTGCATGGAAGACATTATGAATTTTATACTTGTGCATCAGTTCCTTATGTATTTTATACCTAAAGAACTAGAATGATGCTATAGTTGATGCTTCACTAACACTAAGTCACCAATTTTAAACTCCTATGTTCCCTTTCCAAATTTATCTATTTTATCTTTTTAATTACCTTCTCTAAGTAAACCCACACAATATTTATGTTTCGATATTATTCCTTTACAAAATGATAGGCTGATGGACTACTCTCAGTATAATCGATCGCTAATGTGTGATGAGTCGACAATTGTTGTCTCGTAATGATCTCGATGGGATTCTTGTTAGATGTAAAGCTCTACTACAAGTTATAGGAAAATTGGGCTTTATTCAATAACTTCACCTAATCTCATTCATTGGCACTCATGTAGTGCCAAAGATATTGCTTTAGGAGCGAATTTATTCTTTTAGTTTAGCCATCCATCTAGAGGTGGAGGCTTGTGAAGAAGTATAACTTATATCCCAATAATTTAAATAACTTGATCCAAAATTATCCCAAGAATTATGCGTCTCGATCACTTATGATATTATGCAAGACTCTCTAATACTTTACCATATTCTTCATCATCAAGTTGGCTGCCTCCTCCATTGAGAAGTGTAGGGGTGCACCAATGAATGTTGCATACTTTGAAATTGATCAACTGCCGTGAGCATCGATCTGAGTCCCCTTGCTGCTAGTAAGTTTGATATGAAGTCCAAGGAAATGCTCTCTCATAGTCGTTTTGGTATGGGTAACGACTCCAAAAGTCTCATTGGCTTCTATTGCTCTACCTTATTTTGTTGGCAAGTAAGACATTTTCGAATATATTCCTACACATCAAACTCTATCTTTGGCCAATAGAAGGCCTTCTCTATGAGAGTCAACGTTCGATGAATACCTAGATATCCAACCTAAAGGAAATCGTGACATTCTCTTAAGAGTTCATGTCTCAAATTATTTGCTCGAAAAATATAAACTCTATTCCCTTTAGTGTATGTGAGTCCCTTCTAGACCCAAAATTGTCATATCTTGTCCTCTTTGATTAATTACATCAGAGTTACTGCTTGGGGATCACTATATAGTCCATCCCTAATTTTGGAAATGAAGTTAGAGTGTAGCTGACTTGCTTGGTCTCCACCTTCCAATTGCAGAACATTTGATAGCTCCACTTTCCTACTTAATACATTGGTCGTGACATTTACTCTTTTGGGTTTGTACTTTATTGTCAATCAAATTCAACTAGGAAGTCATTCCATTGTGCTTGTTTTAGAAAGAGATTCTTTTGAGTTTAGAAGTAACACAATGCGCTGTTGTTTGTCCTTAACACTAATCACATTTCGAGAAGATAATGACATCAAACTTGTAGATAGTGGACCACTATTGTTATCTCCTCATACACTGGATACCATCACTTGGTGTTATTGAGCTTGAAACTCTTATAGGCTACCGAGTGACCCTCTTGTATAAGTACTCCCCCGATAGTGAAATTTGAGGCATTTGTATAGACTTCGAAAGACTTCCCATAGTATGACAAATTGAGTACCAATTCTTCTAACACAGTAGCATTTATGTCTTGGAATACCGCTTCACATTTGTCTGACCATCGCCTAAGACTGCTCCTTGTTCAACAACTCTTATCAATGAAGTTGTGTACTTCGAGTGCCCAACTATAAAGCACCGATAATAGTTAACAAAACCAAGGAAGGATCTCATCTCTGGTACTTTCTTTGGTGTTCATCACTTCGCCATAACTTGCACCTTTTTTTTGTCTATCTGAATGTAAACTTTGTCGATTCGATACCCTAAGAATAAAATCTTCATTTGAGCAAAGTAGTGCTTCTCTCTTTTCACATAAAAAGTTCTCTTTGAGAATCTTGAAAATTATTCTAAGGTGCTCTACATGCTCATCAAGTATTTAGATATAAACGATGATATCATTCAAGTAGACGACCACAAACTTATCCAGATACTCTATGACTAGTTGATTCATGAGAGTGCAGAATGTGGCCAAAGTATTGGTTAAGCCAAAGAGCTCTGCCAACTCTAGAGGGGTCGTGTAGTACGGTGATCCCATTGGAAGCTTCACTCCCGACTCTAACTCGATGCAATGATCCACGCCTCTACATAATGGTCGAGTTTTTAGTAACTTAGGTGGTATAATATTAGTGAACTTCTTCAATACGTCTGCCACCGTAGTAGGTTCATGAATAGCCTATATATCAAGTGGTTTTAGCTTCATTACAGTCACAAAAGTTAGTTCACCCTTTCATACCCCCTTCTTAAGCATAAAGAGTGTAGGAATGACATGGTCACCAAATTCATCATGAACTTCATTCTAAAGATCACTTGGAAGTTATATAACGGCATCACCATCATGTTTGTGTTTCCACTCTACATCCCAATCTTAATGGGGACCCCCTTTGCTAGTTCGAATATCTAAACCTTCGAGTTCATAGCCTTCCTTCAACTTGCATCTCTAAGTTTTGCCTAGGTCTTCTTGTTTCTCGGTCGATAATGAAATTGTGGGTAGTGCCCGTGTCCACCATTGCAAAGGTTGTACGACCATTTGGCTTAATGTCCATATACATCAACTTATTGTTCCTAACTTTTTGTGGCTTCATCTTTATGTTCTCCTCTACTTGACCTCGTAATGCATTCAATAAATGCATTGCTCTCATGCGGGGCCACTACATGCCTAATGTCGGACTAGTCGATGCATATCTACCTAAGGTAGAATTGGAAGCTCATGAGCTCGTCGTCGGCATGAGAGAGGCTGCATGCGTACAATGCCCTGCTAAGCAACGACTTAATGTTATTGTTGGTGATCGTTTCTATGACGACACCTCCTCCCGCCATTGATGATAATCTTAATTAAAAAAAAACTTAAATTACATATATATATTATATTAATAATTTAAATTATATATATTATTATATTAATTATATTAATAATTTATTATGAGTCTGAAACTCTAATATTTATTAATTCAGACATTATACTTTTAAAAATATATAAATTATCTTAAATACGAGTAAATCATAAAATCTTAAAAAAAATCTATAGTCAAAATTATAGAGATTAAAATGGATCTTAACCATTTAAAAAATAAGAGATGCTATGTTAGAATAAAATAAAAATAAAACAAATTTTAATTAAAAAAAAATCTTCTTTTTAACATTAACATAACATTCGTTATTTTTGTTTAAAGGCAACGACAAAAGATTATCTTGAAAGAGGATTAAAATAATCTGTGAGGACAGCTATCCACGCAGCTATAGAAGAGAAGTCAAAAACATCTCCTAACGATTCTGGTAATTGAAACAGCTAACAAACCCAAGAAAAGGTCGAGACACCATCAAAATGTGATTCCAGATTCAAATGAAAATGTCATCTTCTCTCTTCTATCCCGAATCAAGTAAGAACACACTTTGCCATCATTTACAGTAGCGTTTGATGGCAGAATGACACGATCAGTAGCCTGCAATCACGGCAGCCTACAAGCAGAGATTTCCAATCATCAGACGCGAGAAGAATTCTAAATTGCAAGCTGGGCAACTTATCATGGACGAATCATAGAATAGCACAATATCAAGGCACAACAAGGCTGATTGTTCTACTAATGTTTGTGTCAAAAATCAGATTGTAATAACGACGCTTGGAATTGATACAAAAGCTAAATCTGTACTCTTAAACACAGATCCTGTAATGCATTTATTTACAAAGGTATAGTGAGTCGCCATATAACCTATTAAGCTGATGTTCTTATTCCCAATCGTCATCAAAGAAACCAGCATCTTTCATTTCCGAGTAGTACACGTTCTCCAAACGCAAATCTTCTTCCTGTATGCAAAAAAGCCACCAAAAGGAGACCATAAAGGATTTGTGATGCGTAGTCATTGTAGAAATATGAGCCTATTACAAAAACTAGCTCAAACCAAGAAAATTCTAGGGACGAAAACATGGAACCAGACCTGGAAAAAATCTGCTAGGAAGACCATGTATAGAAGTGGAAGATAAAGAGAGTGGTAGCATATCATTGTCAGATTGAACAGCCTGTAACAGAAAGAGGATTAGTCTTTTACAGAAAGAGAAAAAAAAGCTACCATAGCTATGGTTTCAAAAAGCATATGATTGATACCAGATCCCAAATCCAGCTCCATTTCCAGCAAGCAGACAGCCAAATAGGGACATTGTATTTAACAACAACATTGCACAAACGTATTTGTAGAATGCCGGTCTTGCTGTTAATGGGCAAAGTAAAAATTCTGAAGAAATACAAACGAATATACAAGCAACAATAAACTAGAAAAAAAAAGAATAAATATGAGGATTACCTGGTAACCTTTCTCTCCACTTTGAGTGGTGCATGAAGAAAATGAAACCATAGACAGCAGTAAGCAACATCTTGTGGATAATCCACAATCCCCATCTTCCACCATTTGCTGTTTTGTTCTTGTCTGCGAATAATGGAACTCCAAAACCAAATATATAGATGGCCTGATGAACATACGAAACTTCGGGTTAAACTTTTATGTAGTAGGGCGATAATGACAGCCTATCCACGATAGGAAGAACTACTAGGTGGAAATTCATAATGCCTTAATAGTATAATAATCGCCAGAGACATGAACTTCCTACTCCATGTAAGGTTAGTTAAGCTACCTGCAAACCTCTGCCATACGTACAGGCTGACTTAACGTAATGATGCATGGATCAAGGTTTAAAATCTCGATTTGGTATTGATATCAGCCATAACAAGGACACACAGCAGATGTGCATGCTTATGAACATACAAGCATTCACGATCATATGTAGAAGACATACATATGCATCGAATATGGCATACACATCCATACACATGCAAAATGACAAGGACACATGAATTGATGCATGCATGAATATGCACAAGCATATACAATTTACACATATACATAAATGCGATTAAATCACACGTCGAGCAGTAGTACATAGTTAAAAGGGCAAACCTAGTGCAAAAGATTCCTAGTAATGCAGGTCTGGTGAGGGTCAATGTTTGAAATTTACCCATATAAATAAAGGGGTCATTTTCATGATTACCAAGACCTACCCTCCACAAAATATGGGAATGCGTATATAGATTACATTACATACAAAAGTAATAGGTCATGAAGCTGTATCAATTGGCTATAATCTAATTGATCTCCTTTTGTAGTAAACATCATCATATGTGGTGGTGAGATATAAGACTAGACACATATACCATGATCATAAGTTTCTTGACAACATTATATACAGAAACTATGTTTATACTTTGATCTTCTTGTATGAATATAGAAAATCTTGATATTTAGTGTACAACAGTACAAGTTTGAAGTAATTTTGTGAATGATTGTTGTTCATGTCAATGGTCATCATGTCAATTGTGTTGTTAAAAGATGATTGACTAAAGATAAAAGAAAAAAGATGATAAACTTAGATAAAAGATGATTGGATAAATAATGCTCCAATCCATTCACAGATCTTGCTAATTAAAAAGATCATCTCTTGAAGCAAAAATGGAACTACGGATTATTCAGAAATTGTAATTGAGATCAGTGATCTGATTAGTCCTTGATTAATGAAATTAGAATTTCTTTCTCTAGTTTAGCTTTCCCTATACTTAGTGGTCTATATAATGGGAAAAGGATCATAAATGATGACGTAATTGAATGAAAGAAAAAGTATTCTTTTTGCATAAAATGTATGACTGGTGTAAGATCATCTTATTATCCTCGAATTAAATTCAAAGGACATTGAACGAGCATGAGGTATCACGCATTTCCTTAGTTCCAACTTTTTCTTACCTTATTCATACTAAAGCCTTAAAGCCACAAAACAATCAATAATACAATCCTATTATTCAAACTTTTACAAGCATAATACTAACACCCACATAATATCTTAGCTACCCAACACCTTCCTTTAACCTTAAACAACCCATCTGACGTCAAAAGTTCCAGTGATGATGTTTCCTATAATGTTGGAAGCAAACAAATATACTTCAATAACCAATGGATATTGATAGTGTTGATATCAATGGTCCATATTCTTTTGTCAAGTTTTGGTATATGTCAGAATTTGTATTTTCCGTCAGTGAAACTTTTTTTCTAAGAATCAAACATGCTTTCACCAATTATTTTTCTTTGTTTTGTAATTGCCTTTTCATATCCAATTCCCTTGAGCCATAACACCCTTAGAGGTTGTCCAATATCATTCTTTACTAACACCAGCAAGCATTATTACTTGAAGCTCCTTTCAAATAAAATATTATGAAACTAAAAACAAGAAAACTATTTTTTTCCAATCATAGACCAAAAAGGTTGTCAAGAAATGCAAATGAACTGTGGGAGCACATCATTCCAAAACATTTACGCTTAGGTATAACAACATTGATTACCTTCAGTAATGTATCAGCAGCGACGATTACTCCTGAGACAACAAAAGTACGCGTTAAAACTTCCAATCCACCTGCATGATTTCCTTGGAGTAGAAAGGCCAGCAAGCTAACTTCCAAAAGCAACATCCCAGATTCTGTAAACAATGACAACATGTTCCAAGATAATTCCTTAGCAGTAGTACATTCCCATGCCTGCACTCCAAATGAACAGATGAGCTAACATTGAGATAATCTATAGTTATATACATTATGGAAAAGGAAAAAAAATAAAAGAAATAAGAAGATTGTGAAAAAAAAAAAGCTATAACAGAAACTGGCATCCCACAGAACTTAATAAAGAGTAAATATGGCACCATCTTGCTGGAAACAGGCTCCAAGGTTAACCACAAAACAAGGATTTAAATTTCATCAGCAGGCATCACGTGGCCAACCATTAGAATGGCATATGTTGGTGTGCAAGCAATGCAGATAGTAAGCATACTTTGGTGTGCCAATGGTGCAAAAAAAAACATATAAAGAGGGTATCAAAATTTAAAAAGTACAGCTCTTCTTTGCAGGTTGCTCCTCTCCTCTATGTCCTCTTCTCTCCTTGACAGACACCACCATGGCAAGCTACGGCTGGCATTCTCAAAAGATAAGGGTTGTGACCCAATGAACTAAGGCATTGAATCGATTTAGAGAAGATCAGTCTAAACCTAGTTATTAAGATAAAATCTATAACAGTTCAATTCAATCAACTCTCAACCGAATTAATCCAGTCCATCTAAAAAACAATGAAAAAAGCCCTTCTGTTAATTCGTTTTTAATTGAGAAAGGCTAGAGAGCCATTACATTATAAAATATTTTCTAAACTGTTTTGCTTTAATGGCTGAAACATCCCTACTTAAGATATAATTTCTGCATAGAAATGGTAAATAGTCTTCCATGTCATATACCATGAAATGATGATTGAACCATGGAGAATCAAGGTTAGCTATATAATGCTTATGCAGTTGAACCTAAATGACCATAGCAAATAGATCTCAGAGTTACTGTAGCTTAATGTAGTCTCGCAATACTTCTGGTTCTATGGCACTGTTAGCAATTACTATAGCTAAAAATTATCATTATGTAATTGGGAATTAAACCAAAGATTAGTTCTGTTGGAGTACAATGTTATGTTGTGACACTAACAGCCTAGAATTACAAGGGATTGTAAGACCTGCTTCAATCATCACTGTCCACCTGAGTTGCCTACCCACCTCGCCATGTACAAACATTAAAAAGAATTCAAATGCTAACTGAGAGAGGGAAGCCGGGCAACCAAAAACCGAGAGGGGGAGGTAGAGGGAAAGGGAAAGTGTATGTCTATTTTGCATGTATATACAACATAGGCATATACATGTATATATTATAATATATAATATATACAATTGTACATCATAACAAGGTTCGTAATTTCATATCGTACCAGAGTATCAAGTTCAGCTCGGTACAGTACGATACGAGTATACCGAGTGGTATGCTCTAGCATACCGCTTGATGTATATATATATATATATATATATATATATATATAT